CATTATGCAAAAAGTTCATCAGGTACACTTACAATGCTAAAATTCGGGGTTCGATTCCCCGCAGTGGACACAGCATATATCCCAATGCTACTTTGCTCTGAAACAAATAAACTTTTGTTTTGTATAAAGCTGCGTTCCAGTTTTATTGTATTGTATTGTTCTCTAAGTGTTTTGTAGAAGTAAGAATATGTTACTGTGTAAGATGTTTTAATCGGTTTTAAGTCTTAAAATTAGAGACAGCTCGATCATCCTGAAGGTAAGGGAAGAGGAAAAATGTAGTATGCAGTCATATTTTTTTCCTTTGAAGAAATATGGTATGTGCAAAAGGCTAATTATGCCTTTTAACAAAGAATAATGCTATACTGTCTTTCCTTAATATATGTAACAAAAAGTATTATTCTGTAGCCCAACTGACGTTCAACTCTATGGGCCAAATTATTATTCGGACAAAGTTAAAAAGAAATAATATGTGCCAATAATATATATACAGATCGCTGAGTTAGACACCAAGTGACAATATGCATAGATAAAACGAAAATACGTTGGTAGTACTGGCAGACCTTGTATTCTTTGGATCAATGGGTTACAAACCTTGACATAGCAAAAAACAGTATGACGTCATGAGGTAACCGTAGCAATACTAATTTATATATATATATATTTCATAACTTTAATGCTGTTTTAATTCATTAGTCGAAATGGTGGATATATAACTTTAATGCTGTTTTAATTCATTAGTCGAAATGGTGGATATATATATATATATATAAATGCTTTGCACTTTTTACTGGCATATACTAGGTATATGTGGGGTCATTATTAGACCAAACTTACTTTTACACTTTTTATAAGTTCCGAGGCATTCTATCTGACAAGCCCTCCTTCCCAGTGGCACAGCCTTAAGTCTGAAAGCTTTTAACGCTAAAAAACTGGTTTCAATACCCGTAGTGGGCACAGGACGGATAGTTCATTGTGTAGCTTTATGCTTAAATACAACAAACAAACTGTGTGATCAAGTGAAAAATTTTACTCCCGTGTTTCGGCCCATTTCCACTACAGAAAATTCTCTGCTCAGAAATTAGAAAATTTGTATAATTGAAAATATATCGAAAGAGCCGAATTATGTTGATTTAGAATCGGCTTTATTTAACCAACCATCAGATTATTTTGAGCCCTTAACTGTGATCTATCGTCATTCCACTGAATATCACAAAGTTTTCAGTTATAACAGCGATATTTCATTTCGTCCAATGAAATCATGTCGCGCTATGCCTGACGAGTTCACAGATTTGTAAGAGTTTATTTATAATGGAAAGATGCTACTCAGAAGTATAACGTACATACATTTCCACACAGGGAAGTAATGACAAACGACCTGTTATTGATAACAATGAACGACACTGAAATTGTGATTCTCAAAACAGATTAAATATAGAATATTAATAAATCTCTACTATTTAGTACCATTCCCCAGATTCCACACTGAAGAGTTTTTCAAGTTAATTGTGAATAACACTAAGTAATTATGAAAAATACTCACCAACGGCAAGTAAAAGCCAGAAGCACCAGCCGTATTTAAAGACAAGAGTTCCACCCTCGAAAGGAATGACTAAAGCCTTCTCAGGCAGCAAGAGAGAATAGATGATATTAGCGAGCAATATGACTGCTCCTGTTAGTTGCAAACAGAAGGCCCCATACCTGGGGACGCTGCAGAATAGAATGTTTGACAAAATCCACAGAGCAAACGCTGTCCTGTGAAAAAAAAAAGTATTGCTGAATTAAAGAAAGTCACCATCTAGTGTCATTTGTAAACTGTTTGTTTTTTTCGGGACTTTTAACTCTATTGTCACTTATATAAATATTCTTCCAATAAATAAAGTGGTGTTACACAATTGTTATTAATTTTTAAAGCAAATGGTATGGTAGATATTATAATCTATATACGGGTTTGAATCATATTTATATATAAGTCTTGTATATAGTAAAAAAAGGCTTTGCTGCATAGGATAAGGCCCCCCAGTGGCACAGCAGTATGTCTGCGTATTTACAACGCTAGAAACTGGGTTTCGGTACCCGTGGTGGGCAGAGCACAGATAGCCCATTGTGTAGCTTTGTGCTTAATTACAAACAAACAAACAAGCATAGGATAATATACAAACAGATATAACAAAATCTAGCTGTAGAAAATGTAAATTATAGTATGTAGCTGACGCTTGTTTATAAGAAAAGCAGTGCCCCGCATGGCCAGGTGGATAAGGCGCTCGACTCACAATCTGAGAGTCGCGGGTT